ACATTGTTTGGAACTGTGCGTCCTGTGGGTTAATTTTGCGTCTCGGACGCGGGACGCAGAGGTAACGAGATGGCTGATCTCTAAACATTCTCTGAGTACTACTATTATTACCACTCCCACTAATATTACATTAATTAATTTAATACCTTCAACTTCACAATAATAATAAAAAATAATTAAATCAACCATGATTTTAAACTATGTATTATCAATATTCATTATTCCAAACATGAGAAAGCATTCAGCAAACATAACTGGAATCGAGCAAAAGGACTCCAAATCCCAACGGCCAAACCCGGAAGTGAAGTGCCGGCATTATTGACTCCAGCTGTAACGCAAATTACTTGGTTCAAACAAACATTCTAGTGCCACCGCACAAACGTGACGACTGTGCAAAAATAACTACATAAAAGACACCACTGTTACAGAAAGACTTTACACGCTATTTAAACTGCCGATCTCGAACGGAACAAACCGTGATTGAAACTAACTGTGATGCCGCTCTTGATAGGTTGCGCTAACTGTCACTTATCAGTGGCAGACCCGCCCCTTTTAGAGCGCCAGCTTAATCCATCAATATGGGTTTCCCTGGATGGAATTTATTTGATTCCTTCGTGATTTTTTTTCGGTCCTCGGACCCACTTTATACCTGAGGACAAGGGATTCGAGGCTCTAATCCCTCATTGTGTCCGAGGACGGGCAACCCAAGGCCAAGGACTTGACCCCCAAGGACCAAGGACCGACCATCGGTCCTCGAGCCGGTCCTCGAGGCCAAGGACCGGCTCGAGGAACACATCACTGCCGAATAGATTGCAGATATTATTTACAATAATTGTCTCATTGAAAATAGCCTTTGAGGAGCATTAATTGTACATGAGGCAAGATTTTTTTATTATGATTAATATTGCACATGGGTATTTAAAAGGTACATCAGCAGCCATGCAGTTACTAATAAATTTAAAAAAAACATTCTTGCTGTATTTATCAATTTAAAATTGTGTATGAATCAGTACAGTCTTTTTGTCCAGTGATGATGAGGAACAACTTTGGAGTAACCAGAGCAATGTGCTTCAGGTTTTCAGAATCCAAGCGGACATCAAGAGGCACAACCACAAAGGCTTTGACAGACTAAAAGCAGCATGGCCAGCAGATCGTACAATTGAGTGATAACACTTGCCAACATTGCCAACTTTGTCGATAGCTACAAACTCGACAATTTGTGAGCAGCAGGAGGCATTGTAGCTCGCGTGTACACTCGAAACATTCAGGGAGGTGTATGATAGAGTCCCGTCCCCTTGGCGGAGGGAAACGCGCTCTATCCCCGTTCCATTTCCATCAGTCAGGTTGGCAGACAGCTCCCACTCGAAAAACATACACTGAGACATATCTCGGGGGCAGTCATCAGCCCATACGCTGACCACGTCACACACAGGCTGAACAAAATCTGTAATCTGAGGACAAAGGAGAAATGGAAAATATACTGTTTTGTATTTAATGTTTCTTTGGAAACCTAACAAATAATGAAAGCCATTGTGTGTAATGAAGATATAACGTTTGATTACCTTTGTAACAACAGACAATCTCAGAACGGCATAATTGGAATCAACACCATTGGATGATTTGGCTTCTAAAGTCAAAGTGACATCAGTTCCTGATGGCGTGTTGGAAGGCGGGCTAATGGTCAGAGTTCCATTGGTGTATGTTCCAGTTGTCAAGCTAAGACTGTCAACAAAAGAGCGAAAATGTCACTTAAAACCAATACAGTATGATTAATGAGAATTTAGTCATTCACATCGGGGATTTTTGTACAAAATTTTAGCTTTGTGACTCCCTGGGGAGCCGAGCAAGGAGAAACAGACAAAGACCAACAGACTACCGGTACCTTCGTCCATTCAATGTTGCAATGCTAAAATTGTCTCGCTGAATCTAGAAACATTCTATCTCCTTCGTAGCACCAGTGCTGGAATAAGCGTAAATCATAAGCTTGTACGCCTCTGAATGTTTCTATCGAATATAAGTCATGAGCTGCCGTGCATACGGTCCATTAAAATAAACTGCAGTGGAACCTCGAGTTACAAATTCACCCTTTTTACATAGAATTTAAGTTACGTACAACATTTTAGTCGAAAAAAATGACCGAATACTATTTTCAATATACAAACAATCTTGGCATGGGCGAGTGCATGGATGTCTGTTGTAATTCTTCATGTGTAACCATCATTGGCAATGTGCATAACGCATTGCTGTAATCTGGAAAGTCTTCCGCATCTTAAAGATCGTTGCATTACTTATTTCAGTATCGCGTTATGTTGATTTTTTTTTGGTTTAAAAAAAAAAAAGTAAACAATTTCGGGACTGGAATGGATTAATTGCATTTCCACTTCAATGGCAAATATTACCTCAATTTATGAACATTTCCAGTTCAACTTGCTCACAGAAGCAATTTAGTTCATAACTAAAGGTTCCTTGATGTTGCAGAGATGATGGCTGTGTTGAAGATTTCCAATTTGACACATTTTGAGATGAAACAAAGGAATTTTGAAGAGAAGTTCCGTCAAATATTCAAAGGAACGAACAACACACATAAAAGCACTGGAAGTGTCGTATAACACTGCAAGCAGGATTCTTGTCACATCTATGAGGATACAACACTGCAACAAAACGCAGCAGAGTGCTCACTTCAGCGTGGCTTAGATTTTGGGTGAACACACAAAGCCATTCTCAGATGCAGAAATAAACGACTGAACATTTGGTTGGATTTTAGCATGTCGCGACTGGATGTTACTTTTGGAATTCTCGAGTTGCTTGATTCACCTGAAGACAGAAATACACTTATTTTCGAGTGGTTCTTTATGTTTACATTTAAAAAGTAAATTGTGGCCTTATTCCCATCCTGCATTTTCACATGTGGGCTGACTGACCTCACAGAATATGGTTATTTTTTGATTGTACAACCCCTTTGTTGAATAATGGATATATATTAATTTACTGTGGTGTACATTGATTTGATAAAAAAAAAAAAAATTGTCCACGTTAAAAATGGCATATTTGTCATACATCTGGTCAGGAAGTCTATGGTCCTATGTGACCCGATGGTAGCGCTGATGAAAAATTGTGGTTTTCTACATCATTAAAGTTTCCCATCCCTCGTGTACATGAACGCATCAGCGATGAACTCCTTAGCTTTTGTGATATGACAATATTGATAAGGAACTCTGACCACAGCATTTAAATTTGAGTAACATCTGCGTTCACAAGCTCACCTCTTTGGATATGACATTGGGAAATCTCTGTCATTGCTTCCACTGATAATAAATTTACCACCTGGACCCTGCGTCATAACGCTGAAAGGGAGGCTGAAGTCTTTCCCAGGCTCCACACTCGTGTCCACCATGGCCTAAAATTGAAGAGTCAACACTTTGTATACGAACAATATTTGTATACAGTTAACTCGTACCAACCCCAATACCAACAATGTTAGGATGTTGTGCAAAACGTACATAAAAACAGGGAATAATGATTTTGCCAAAATGTTTCACTGTATATTCAATTGAATACACTGCAAAGAGAAGATATTTAATATTTAATGGGGGGGATATTCACTTATTTTTAATTTGGTGCCTGTAACACATTCCAAAAAAGCTGGTACAGGGGCATGCCTACACCGCGTTATATCACATTTTCTTTTAACAACACCCAGTAAGTGTTTGGGAACTTGAGAGCACAAATCGAAGCTTTATAAGTGAATTCTTTCCCATTCTTGCCTGATGTCCAACTTCACTTGCTCAAGAGTTTGACGTCTCCACTGCCATATTTTGACCCTCATGACGTGCCCCACATTTTCAATAGGATACAGGCCTGGACTGCAGGCAGGGCAGTCTAGTACTCAGACTCTTTTTCTTCGAAGCCACACTGTTGGTGATGCGCAACTTTTTTTTTTTTTTTTTTTTAAGCATTTCTTAACTTTCCCAGTCTTTTGTCGCCACTGCCCCACCTTTTTTGGAACATCATTCAAGCATCAAGTTCGAAATGAGAGAATATTTAAAAAATAAATAAATAAATAGATATACCATTGATCAGTTTTAACATTAAATATCTTATCTTTGTAGTGTATTCATTTCAATATAGGTCAAATAGGATTTCCAAATCTTTATATTCTATGTTTATTTACGTTTTACACAATGTGCCAACTTCGTTTGAGTTGGGGTTTGTTGATTAGTTGCAGACCTGGATGTTCACTTTGGAGACAGACAACTGAGTGGTGGATTGCCTCTGGAATGAACTGCTTGACATCTCGTCAGTTCCTTTCAGAATGACCACAAATTCCCCTGCAGGCACTTCATCCACTGTCACCAAGATGTCTCCATTGCTCATGTCAGTTGTTGTACCGTTACTTTCAGCTCCTGTGTCAGAAACTACCAGGGCAACATTTTCCACTCTGATGGAAGATGTACCTCTTCTACCCATTACAGAGAGCATCAAGGTGGCTGGCTGCTCTGGGAGAGAAGAAAACAAAAAAGGACTTTTGATGGCTAAATTCAAATTTATACAACCTCTATTTGGATCATTTACGTTGAAAGGTTACACTTAGTGATATTATTCCATTCAGTTGTAATATTTAACGTGAATGTATTTATTTATTGCTGTTGTTTTTGTTCATTTAACCCTTTCGTGCACCCTGTAACCTGATAACATGATAAGCTGCCCACTGTAGTAACTGCTGTCCCGTAAAGGGTTGAAAAATAAAATGAAAATCTTTGACTTATTTGGTGACCACTTGGACTAAAGTATGACCTTGGGCAGAGTCATTCGGCAATTATGATTCGCGTGCTTTGTGCTTATACTGTACTGTATTTGTGTGAAAACTATTTAAGAAACTCTGAAATTATTTTGACACGATATATGAGGCTGTTTTAGCTATCACACATTTTAGAAAAATAATCTTGAATGTCTATACGGTTGTTACATATGATGATGTCACGTTCATGCCTCTTTATCACTGCAGTGATATGATTGACTGTATGTACTGTACCAGCTTGTGGAAGCCCACTCAGCACTGCATAACCTGGGTGAGGTCCCTTGAAGCTCTCCACAAAGTCATAGACAAAGGTAATAGTACTTTGCCCTGAAACACAACAACAGACCGTCAATAAGTTCTGATACACACCAAAATAAGTTTCTGTTTGAAAGCATCTTTATATTTTCTAATAAACTCACATTCTGCACAAGAGATTTAGCTGTTTTTGTCTTTATATTGTATATGTTTTCTCACACATGCTGATGTTCAACAGTCTGCCTAATATATTTCATGAATCTATGGTATGTGACATATTTCGTTTTTCTGATCGGCCAGATTACTGACTGAAAGTGCACGGTCAAAGTACTGTGCTGCTGTTGCAGGTGGCAGTACTGTGTTCCATTGGCACAATGCAAGAAGTGCAGCATTACAAGAAACACAGAACCACTAGAGCAGGGATCAGCAATCTTTTACACTCCAAGAGCCGTTTCGACCCAATTTGCACGGAAAAGACAAAACTGGGAGCTGCAAACACTTGAAACGATGATATTAGCCTCTATCTATCTATCTATCTATCTATCTATCTATCTATCTATCTATCTATCTAGCTAGCTAGCTAGCTAGCTATCACTTAAAAACAAAAATTGAAACTATCTCAAAAAAGCAGACTTTTTTCGTGGTGAGCAATGTTGTGTGTGACCCAAGCATATACTTTTGGAATTGCGGACAATCAATTCGACCTTTGTTTCTTCTAACCATAACACATTTTTCCCCAGACGCGTTTGGATGATTTAGTTATGGTCTGATAACTTTATTATAAAATAATAATTACATGCGTATATATGTGTGTCTGTGTGTGTGTGTTGAGACATCTCAACTCAACTCAACTCAACTCAACTGTATTTATAGAGCACTTTCAAACAGCCATCGCTGCATACAAAGTGCTGTACATGGAGCAATTCAACATGTACAACAAACAGAGACATGTACAAAATCTAACAAGTATGTAACATTGACATGTACAATATATGTGTTATATATATAATGTTACTGACCTGTAACTTTAATTGTGTATGGTTGTTTAGAGTTGATGCTGATTTTCCAGGGGCCTGACTGATGGTCTGAATTCAGAAGAATTCTTCTCAGGTTGCCGACTGTCTGGATGTGTGCCAGTGCACCAATGAGCTCGAAATTACTTTGGTTCACACCTGAAGTATGCAAGAATGCAATATTTTTCGATAAATTGTGAGATGATGTCATGCATCAGCAAAAAATAAAGAAATAAATAAATCAAATCCAAAAATTGAAAGACAGAAAATGTGTACCATCTGCAGTATCTAGTCTGGCACTGCGCATAAAGCAAAGTTGTGACTGCAATTGATGTACCTGCAGGGTTGGTCAGTGTAAAAGCGAGTGTTTGTCCTGTGATGTAGATGGTGACATTTTGTAGGGATTCATCCAGCATAAAAGGGAAGGTCTCTGGCTTCCCAGGATCCCTCGCACTCTGAAAGACTGTCACCTGAGGTAAGCAGAGCAAAAAGAGGCCTATACTGGATGTGTTTGACTGATTTCACTGATTCTCGAAAAACAATCAGATAGCAAATGTTCACTTCAAGTCTTCATATAGCCTTACCAAAGCTGAAGTGGAGGTATCTAGGATGATGTTGGTGGCTTGAGCCAACTGACTCTTGGACACCTGTATGGCCTGACCTCCTGAAGCCAGAGCCAGGTCCTTGTAGTCATTGAAGGAAGCAGCCCTGACAGAACGGCGGCGTCTCCGACTTGACGCGGTGATGTAGAATGACACCTGCCAAGATTAGGAGTATACCGGTAAAATAGGTTCACCTCTCAGAATAGAAAATGTTCATGAAGTCCAATTGATCATCAGCATTAACCGTAGACTTGGTGCTTTTGATGAGGGCCACAATGGTGTTTTTCAGGTGGATGTCTTTAGGCGTAGCGTCTGTGAAAACATATATGTGGGAGGAGGCCGGAGCACCAGTGAGAGCCAACTGGTGAGAGATTTAAAAAAAAAAAAAAAAAAAAAGGACAGGTTAAATTATGCTGAATCATGGCAGAATGCAGAATGCATTTCATACACTGCAAGTCCCATCTTAAGATGCAGTTCTTCTTTAGTACCTGAAGTCCTGAGAAGCACATCTCAGGCAAGTCACCACCTCCTGACGCTTTTATCTTTGAAATTTCTGTTTTCATTTTATCAGGGTCTGTTGTCCTGAACAAAGGTCCGAAATCTTTATAAAAAGCACAAGAATGTATAATCGATACCAACTTCTCATTCTCATGGAAGCCCCATTTACAAATGCATTTGTGATGAAAGGCTGTTCTTCCACAGTGATTGCAGATAACCGTTGTCAGTGTTTAAACAATGTGAGGCCCTCTTACGTGGGTCATTGAAGGTGACCAAAATGTACTCTGATGGCTCATCTTGTGTTCCTTTTTTGCTGTCAATGATTTTGTACACAACTTTTCTGGCTTCTTCAATGTCATCCGACATACTGCCCGTATTATCGATGACAAAACACACCACAGCAGAACGGGTGATCCCCATCAATCTGTGATATCGAAATGGAAAATCGTAAGGTGAAAAAAGCAACAAAAAAAAAACCCCAACTACAACTGTCAAAATATTTGACACGCAAAAACAGACAACGCCACACAGTTGTTGGTAACACAAAGAAGAAGTACTATTTTTAAAAAGTAGATTTTTTTTATGTGAATCTTTCACCTTAAGAAGTCATTGTTGCCCACAGTCAAACGGACGTCCTCCAACAGCTGGAGGCTGGCAGCTGTGGCTGCATTTACAGCAGCATTGTGGAAGCCCGCGTTGTCAGAGCGAAGCTCATCCTTGTGGATTCCTCCTCGAGGAAGAGTTGCGCTTGAGAGATCAGCTTCACCTCCGTGGCTACATTTGCCTGGCAGAGGTAAACGACAAGAGACAAGTTGAATTGCACCACGATGCCAATGGCTTGTTGTGATGCCGCATGCTGCCGTCTTGTTTCTTGACCGGGGTTGTCTTTGTGTTATATTAAAATTAGTTTCATGAACTGAAATCTTTGTGTTTGGGGTATATGCAAAGAACACGGAAATCCGGAAGGGGGCAAATACTTTAATACTTAATTTAGTAGTCAAAATTGCCAATACGCCAGCATTCACACATTTTATGCATCTCATTTATAATCTTAGTCTGACCAGAGCCCTGAGTGAGTGCTTGAATGTACTGCAGACATCATTTTTTTTCGAAGCAATTGAAAAATAGACATCCATCCATCCATCAAATTTCTACACCACCTGTTGCAGTATTAATGCAAAACACTACAATTGTTGTATTCGCTGTATAGTTGCCTTTTGATTATTTATTTATTCTGATTCTGATTCGGATTCTGATGTTTTTCCCCCCCACATACGGTAGTGTTATGCAAAGCAACTAACATTGTACAGTGTGGGTTAAATATGGTTTGCTATTAAAAATGCACGATTGATGGTAATACCTTGAGGCTTGCTATCAGAAAAGATGCCCATGTAGCCAGAAGTTAGCATCCTTTGATTCAGGATGTTTTGAAGGATTGGGTTTGGACACGTTCCTGTGGCACAGTCACGGCAGGTGGCAGTATCAACATCTACGGAGGCAGAAGAGGAACAGATTGTGTACTTTAGGAATATGTTTTTGGACAGCGTATAAATTTCAGAAAAAAAAAATCATATACTCTAATTACATGTGTATTTATTAATAAAGTACGGATTATTTTGCAGGATTGCAATTTTCACATGGATAGAGAGATGCCATCAGGCTGGTTATTGGTTTGATCCCCCACCATAACAAATGGATAAATTGTCATGATGTCATAACAAAGGTTAAACAGCAGTATCGCTACTTACGTCGTAATCGGTATGAGAACTAAAGCCCATGTTGTTGATTGGACTGATTTCTGAAGTGACGCAAGCTATTTGCACTTTTCATTGCGGCAATGCCACTTTATGTCCCATCTGATTTACTTTACTTTTACTAATTTCTCGTTATGTTATGATACGGAAAAATACAATGTTTCCTATGCATCATTGTTTATTTTTATTAATTATTCATATTGCATAAATACACTTTGGATTTGGGATGTCTTGGTTACTGGCAAGCGAATGGCTGCTGTCATCATTGCACGCAGAACATTTTTGCCATTGCTTTCTAGCCACTAGGCTTAACTAGTTTGTAAAATATTCTTTGGCAAAATTCACAGATTTTTTTTTTTTTTTTTTTTACACGCTTGTGGTGTGTATCGTACTTAAAACAAAATAACTTCTCAAGTAAGGGAAGTCATGAAACCCCCCTACTCCGCCCCCCCCCCCCCACCACTTAGTCCCAGGAGAGAAAAAAATCCTGGCGCCATGCCTGCATTTCATTGTTGATGAAATTTGTCGCCTAATAAAGTATTACTTTAGAACACGATTTTTGACAGTCTGCATTTTAGCGCAAGCAGCCGTATTGTACATGTGTATGATCACAATAATTCAAATCAACAGCAAGAAAACAAAAAAATAATAAACTATTTTTTTAACCCTGGTTATTCTGACAAATATTTCATTGTAATGTGCCGGTAATAATTAATCTTTACATTTAGCATGTACTTAGCATTGTTGTATTTAGCATTCGTCATTTAGCATGACGAAATTCCACACATATTCATTTAACATATCCCACAACCTAAGGCCAACACATATTCTTTTCTCCTCCAGGCAGAAATATTACCCAGCTTGTTTGCTTAATGTAATCATGATGACCTCGTGCCCAACCCAGTATTGAGTCAAGACACTTTAAAGTAATTATGCAATTATGACAGCAGTTATAAAATGTACACGCGCACACACATGCGCGTGCACACACACACACCTACCTGCCAGGTTTTCCAAAGGAAGGTCAGGGCGTATCAGAGCGACGTATGGTTCTGTGTTGCCCAACTCCACCCAGTTACTGTGGCTATAGAAGTCCTGTCACAACATGGAAAAATTCTGATTCATTTGAACTGTTAGATAACCCTTTCATTATTCTCTACTTTTGCACAGCATTCTAAAATGTGTACTCCAACTTCTCAAGTGCCTATGAAACGCACACATAAACGGCCTTTTGTACTCCACCCACCTGTAGCGTATGAAGGACTCTACCCATTGTTTCTCTGGCAGCCTTGAAGTTCTCAGTACGAATATTAGCCTTAATGGAGGCCATACCCTTGGTAATGAGACTACGTCCCTCCAAAAAGGCCTCCGAATTGAAATGATGTGGCGCACTGAAAGCACGTGGACTTCATGTTAATCAGTTTCAGAGCAGAAGAGTATTTATTCTTGACACGGATCATGAATGGCAATGGTTTCTGTCAACTCAAACCCACCTGTTGGCAAAATTCCGATCGACGAGTCCATTTTGGGTGTAAATCTCTTGTAGAGCAGAGTAAAACTTCACTCCTGACACCTCACCTGTAGCTGTTGGGCCAAGACAGGCCTGGACCAGCTCCCCGGGAGAGGAACCCTGTAATCAAAGATAAATGGCTGGTTGTCACAGAATAGAAGGCAGCGATAATAAGAGTATCAGTTCTTTCTATTTTCACTTAGCTCAGGGGCTCAGGTGAGGAGCGTTGACGGCTCACTTGTTTTCTGGGTTCGGTCAAATGACGTTTGCAAATTGTGATGCCGTTTTCAAACTGTAATGTCATTATCAGTCGACAGCAAGTGGCAAAATAAAAGGATAGCAATCAAAACAAGAAAGATTTTGCTGCTTAATTCATATCCCACAAATGCAATATGAATCAGAAGGCCATGTATCGTGAAGAAAATGTTGGACTTGACTTCCCCTTTAAGATGCAGAGCAAACCAACAAATGAAAGACTTTGGAGCTGTGGGATTCTTTACATTACGTGTGCTTGTGTGCCAAGTTCAACTTCCATCCTACCGTGGGTTTGAATTCATGACCAGCGGCCTCGGCCACGGCTCGACATGTTTCCGTCACTTTTTGCAACAGGGCCGTTCCTGTAATACTGACATGAGTGGACGCACCACCCCCAATGGGGACAAAGGCCGCAGTCGGCCCTGATAGGATCAATGCCAGAAGGGAAAAGCCCAACCCCGATGTCATGCTCTCTCTGGAGAAGGAAATAAAAGATGAATTATGTGGGGGCTGAAAACAAAGTGCTCGGAGGTCAAGACGCACATACACACCTCATTATTCTCAAGTGACACATCCCACCAAATCACTGCAGTTTGCGGTATTGTTTTTGACCGAAAGCCCCAAGTGATTCGTAAAATATTTGTACATTGGGATTTTACTCGTTATTTATGGTAAAATGACACAATCAAGAAACACAACAGTAATCTCGACTGAAAAAAACAAATTAAAACAGATATTCGCAATACTGTGCGATGGTCTCGACGGTAGCAGAGACATTAATTCGGGAAACTGTACATGAATTAAATCACATGTCGATAATTGCGTTTGTATAAATGTGCAGATTGTTTCATTGTCAATTTAAAGAGAACAAAGCAAAAACGTACTGTACCTTGCCAGGTAACCTCTGCTGGTTTGAACGACTCAAGACGTTTAGGTTATAACACCACCATCAAATGTCTATTATATGGAGCAAAGGTGGAGCTTCACGTTGAAAGCTAGGTATGAATATGTGAATCAGTCAATAATTAACAATACAACAATTTATAAATGACCAAAAGCGGTTGAATGAATGAACAAACAAAGTGCAACCACAATGATAAATATTGTCAAGACAAAGCATTTTATTGTTGCAAAAGGCAGTGCTTGTGCCGGATCTCAAGAACGTGACGGGGTATTTAATGCTCTCGCCAGAAAGTATACGTTATCATAATTTGACTCCTTATCAGGATTACCATTTGAACGATAAACATTTTATTACTTCCTTGAACATGATACACGTCAACCCTGTCAGCTCCTGACGGCACTCATTTCAAGCAAAATAGCGACTTACAGACCCATTTCCAATGAAGTTGGGACATTGTGTTGAACATAAATAAAAAACAGAACACAACGATTTGGAAATCGTGCTCAACCTACACGTCATCGAAGACAAAGACAAGACGATCAAACTGATAAACGTGATTGTTTTGAGCAAATGATCATTCACTTGTTCACAAAGAGGCGAACCTCACCCCAACTTTGTTTGTGAGCCTTTCGGGAAAGCTCCTTTTCGACCCAGTCATGACACCCACCTGTTCCCAGTAAAACCGGTGTTTGATGAGCACCAAAAACGGATGTTTGATGAGCCTTCCTCGTTTTTTTTTTTTTTGTCACCTGTTACAGCTTTTTTTGGAACGTGTTGCAACCATGAAATTCAAAGTTCATGATTATTCACTAAAAACAATAAAGTTGATCAGTTTGTATATTAAATATCTTGTGTAGTGTACAGTATTCCATTTTTATTTATGTTTTACACAACATCCCAACTTCACTGGAATTGGGTTTGTACTATAAATAGTTGAACACAACATGGACATTAATAGCGACAAAATGTTTTTCTCCACTATTTTTGGAGGAAGAATTAAAACACAATCTGCACTTTTTATAAAAGGTGAACTGGTTTCCCAGATTCCGAAAAGCATTAGCAGTAAATCCGTTGTCGACGGTAATCAACGTTCACGTCTGAGATGATGTCATGAAACATCTCTTTGATATCATCTGACAAGAGTGGGTGTGATCTGTTGCCCTATAATTAGTGGTCTCAAAAATAGAACAGCCCAAACGAGAAAATTTCCCTTCCTGTGTAATGCTTCAAAGCTTCATTGAAGACATCCATACACATCATTCATTTATTTCTCAATAAAATGACAGAGTGAATATTCAGTATTGTCACTGTGGTAACTTACTTGTATGCCAACATTATCACCTTGAATCATCCACTGTGAGTATTGTTTTATTCCCACAACTTGGTTGTTGTGCATACTAGACAATTTTTTTGTTTTTTAATAAACATATGCTAATTGTTCGGATTCTCAGCACCACTCGACTCTGTTACTGAGGCGGCCCGGTATCGACTGGTTAGCACGTCGACTTCACAGTGCAGAGGTTCCGGGTTCAATTCCAGCTCAGGCCTTCCTGTGTGGAGTTTGCATGTTCTCCCCGTGCATGCGTGGGTTTTCTCCGGGTCCTCCGGTGTCCTCCAACATTCCAAAAACATGCATGGCAGGCTGATTGAACACTCCAAATTGTCCCGAGGTGTGAGTGTGAGCGCGAATGGTTGTTTGTTTCTGTGTGCCCTGCAATTGCCTGACAACTGGTTCAGGCTGTCCCCTACCTACTGCCCGAAGAGAGCTGGGATAGGCTCCAGCAGTGAGGATAAAGCAGTTCGGAAAATAAATGAATGAATGTAATGAATGAATAATAATTCCTCGTCTCACCCCTCGGGTGGTGTCCGTCCCTCATTCAGCTCGGGTCCTCTACCAGAGGCCAGGAAGCTTCCCAACACTGCGCTTTTCTGGACTGAGATGTCCGATGTTGTTCCCGGGATCGGAGCAACCACTCATCCAGTCTGGAGGTCACTGCCCCGAGTGCTCCGACCACCATATATAATCCAAATTGGAGCGATAAGAGTCTCCCCTTATCTGGGAGAACCTCCTAGGAGGTTTTGGATCGCATCCGGTTGTTCATCAAGAAGAACATTTGCAAGGTCATAGGTCACAGATGTTGGACAAGCCTGGCTCACAAGCTATATTGTCGTTAGTTTTTTTAAAAAATGTATTGGGAAACTCAATAATTATGATTCAGGGACAACAAATTCAGGATCTGTCACCCCCACAGTGATTATTTTTTACGCAGGCAAGTGTCCCAAGACATTCCTTTTTGTTTTATTTCGTACATCTGGTGCCCTGTTATTGATTGGCGACCGATTGAGTGTGTAGTTGGCCTTTTGCCTGAAGTATGTTAGTATAGCCTCCCCTGCCTGCCACCCTGAACAGGATAAACAGTGACAAATGATTGCAAAAGGGTGAATATGGTGAATACTTGAGTCCTCAATGTCTACCACTAGATGGCGATGTAAACCAGATGGTGCATGTGTCCAGTGTTGCTTATTTCATGACTTGTTTGTGTGTGTGTGGGAGTGGGGGGGGGGGGGGGGGGGGGGGGGGGAGTATTAGTTCAGTTTTATTCAAATCTTGAGCCATGGTGTTGTGTTCAGAGACAAATGCCCTGTGACAATTCAGTGTATCATCCTCTCTTTGGTGTAAGAAGTCTGATGTCGGCGTAATGATTAGATGAGACACAATCAACGACAAACTGCAGGTATCTTTTTTTCCCCCTGTCCAAATCTTTGTAGTTGCCGGCAGCCTTTCTTTTCTTAGGACCTTAATAAATAAAGATAAGAACCAAATTGGCATTTGTGTTAATGCCCTGCCTCACTTCATGACCTTCCCATCAGCATTTAGGGAGGGGCAAGCAAGGTTCAGTTCTGTGGGCTAAAGTGACAGAACAGGATGAGATGAGCACTTGTGACAGTAAGACAATCATATAACAGGAAGTCGGAAGGGAGTACATGGACGCCTGACTGATGTGTAAAGTCTAGGTGAGTATGACAAACTACTCAATGCATTTGGCTTCACAAATTGTCTGTAGCTGTGAAGTCACCTGCATCTTATTTGAATTCCCATTCATACTGCTGAATGATTTGGATTCAAGACCTTTATTTTTGCGCAAGGGATCCTATTAGGAACATATGCTCGATGTAGTCTGATGAAACAAAGTTAAAACTAAGTGATGCATTTCAAACCTCATTTCAAATTAAATGCTGTCGTAAACATTATGGGCTCAAAAACCAGAGGCAGTATAAGTGCGCTCAAGTGTAAAACTGGCATATCCTGATTTTCGTGCTGATGTAAACCTCGTCACTCTTGTTCGGGCATTTGGTTCAACTCTGCACCATGCTGAAGGTTCCGCCGTTTCCTTTTATTTGCGCCTCGCTCATCTGACAATTTGGTGGGGCTGAAAGTAGACTAAAGTTTCCGCCTGTCTAAGTTTTGCAGCAAGTATTCTAATGAAGTTTTGGTGGATTTGATCAGGGCACAGGAAGACAAATTCTGAGCTCCGCGGATACGTGGGGGTGGATTTCATTGCATTTCTTTCCTCAATATCGCACCAGTGAGCACTCAGAATCACTGCAGGAATCAATTCATTGAGCAGATCAGTTTCCACCATTTCAATGACTATCAGTATGCCGCATTTAAAGGGAATGGAAGGAGCTGCTTTTATTGGCAGTGAATCAACTTGGTTGTGTTCACGCCAAAAAACGGTGCACCAATTTAAAAAAAATGTGCCACACCGCACCCGCTTGCAAGGGTTTGCGAAAATAAGAAAACGATGTAGCCTGCCACCGTTTAAGCTGTACCTTGCGACTGGCTTTCACTGGGCAGGGGTCTCAAACTCCGGTCATCATCTGCTGTCTTGCCTGTTTTAGATGTCTCCCTCCTCCAATACACCTGATTCAAATGATCAGCTCATCACCAAGCTCTGCAGAAGCCTGATAATGGCCCTGATCATTTGGATCTGGTGTGTTGCAGCCGGGAAAGACGGAACTCGAGGACTTTAAAACCTGCCTCAAAACTCACTTGTATTCTTTGGCATTTGACTCAGCATGACCCAGACTTGATCTTAGTTTTACTGTTTGGTGCTTTCTACCATCTTTCTTACTGATTTATTGCTTTATTGTTGTATATATGATAGTTGCTCCAGGTACAGCACTTAGTATATAGCAGTGGCGGTTTTAAAGTGCTCTATATATACAGTTGAGTTGAGTGTTGAGAGACTGGAGTTTGAGACCCCTGTTTCAGATAGATTTATATAATAAATACTTTGTGTGTGCGTGTGTGTGTGTGTGTGTGTTTAATATACGGTAAGTATTTATTCAAAACCTTTATTTATTTGTATTGTATTTTGACCTTTGCTTGGTTTACCACATGAGACATTCATCCTAAATTGCAAAAACATCACAACAAGAAAGCAGTTGGTCTGAGATAATTTAATGCAGGGGTGGGCCACTCTGGTCCTGCCTGTTTTTTAGACGTCTGCCTCCTTCACCAAATGATTAGGATTGTTATGCAGCTTCTGCGGTGCTTGTTGATGACCTGGTCATTTGAATCAGGTGTGTTGGAGGAGGGAGACATCTAAAGCTGGCAAGACAGCAGCCCTTGAGGACCAAAGTTGCCCACCCCTATGTTTTTGTTTCGGTTACATTTGGTTTTGTTTCCTTGTGTGCCCTTTTTGGCTCCACCGGTTCTCGTCATCCGTGTCCCTGGTGTTTAACCAATCAGCTCCCTCAACCCTTTGTGTCTTTTCCAGATGTCTCGTCACCTTGCTTGTATTTAGTTCTCCGGGTTCTGACGGTCTTTGTTGGATCATTGTGAGTGTTTGTGTGCGCCTATCAATTTTTTTTTTCTGTCACTTTTCTGTCTGTATTTTTTTGCTACTCTCGTTCCTTGTGGTTTTTCAGGACTTTTTCAAGTATTTGAGTGTGAGGGTCCTTTTACCCCGCAAGTGTTTTTTTTTTTTATTGTTGTGTTTTGTTTTGTTTTTTGTGAATATATTTTGTTCAGTCCATCCTTCTCCTCCCTGCCTCCCTGCTTTTTTGGGGTACTCCAACCACTTCGCAAAACGTCACAAAACCAAACGTAACCTAAACAAAAACATAACACCCCTGATGTAATGTAAAAGAAAATGTAGTAATAATTCAGATTTAGATTCAGATTCAGAAAACTTTGTTTATCCCCCTGGGGCAATTAGAGTTGTGCGGGACTCTAATTGCCCCAGGGGGATAAATAAAGGCTAAAATGACTTTCTCTGCACGCACACCGTATGGCTCATCATGCTTATAAAAATTTAACAAAACTGTCCTAATCATACTGTGCGTAATTTCAAGGCAGATCCTAAATCTGTGGTGGCCATGACAATTTATGACAGTTGAAGCTGCAGACAGTGCATCTTCATACTAAGCCACTGTAAGTACTGTAGCTGGTTGAGCATGCTGTTATCTCAACTCACTAATTTGCAATGACTTTATAACATTGACCCTGGAACATTGGTCCACATTTGATTCTTTTTTTCTTTACAGCTGATGATGATGTTTCTCTGCAAGCGGTATGTCATTATTGACACAACACAAAGCTAATCAATTTTCCAGGCAAGTCAATTCCTTTACCAACCATCGTAATATATCATTCATGAGTTGAGACCAGTGGTTCTTCACCTTGTTAGAGCTACCGAACCCAACCAGTTCACATGCACGTTCACCGAACCCTTCATTCGTGAAAAATAAAAAGATGACTATTTATAAATTCATGACATTAAAAAAACGCATTTATTAAAAACAGAAAAAACTAAATTAAATTTCAAGAGATAAATATACTTTTTTTTTTTCATAAAAATCACGACAGTAACACGACAGTAACACGAGATTAAATGCCCTGCTTCCTATAATTCAGTGAAGACCCCTACCCGTCCATGTTGATGAGGACTAGCCTCTCAATTCCTTGTGAGGCCCCGAGAGTCTTTGCAGCTTCCAAGCTTGAGCCCAGCACCTCATGGAGCGTGCTCAACACGGACACCACTGTAGCTTCTGACAGTGCTCGCACGGGCTGACTCTGACCGCCACCAGGAAGGTTGGCCACTAGGTGAGGCACTGCATGTTTGCCTGACCATAGAAGCAATAAGCAAGTGTAAATAGTGTGTGAGTGTTAAAGGTCAAATAGAAAGTAGAGTTTATTCAAGTAGGGAGCTGCAAGCTTCACCTAGTAGGTCTCTGTTATGAGCATCAATCGCCAGGTTACGAAGCGCACCCGACATCGCTCGAACCACTCGGTCGTTGCCGTGGGCCAGCAGTTCAGTCATCATGGGCAAACCTTTCTACTGGCGTAGCAGGGCACGGATGTACCGGCCATACTGCACAAATACAGATACATTTTCATTTGCAAATCAGGATGGGAGATGGTAGTTATAAAATGAGCATGAAAAACTAAAATATGACTTTTTACAAATTTAAGACATAAAAAAGGTGTTGTCTTGAAATTTTATTTACTTTTGTCTATTTTTAAAAAGTGTACTTTTTTTTTTTAAATTTTACGACGTACTATCACGACAGTCACACGTTGACTACTAAGCGAACTAAATTGCCCCCAGCACTGATTGGACAACCAATGTCATGTGATCATGTGCGACCAGTGATTGCCAAGCGGGCATGTCATAACAAATTGACATGTTGAGTCGGGTGTGTCTTAACCTCCATGACAGAGGCTCTGTCGCACCCCTGAGACCGATTCACCAAACCCCTGGGGTTCGATCGAACCCAGGTTAAGAACCACTGTTCAAGACCATAGGTGTCAAACGCAAGGCCTGAGGGCCAGATCTAGCTTTTTTATTTTACGTGGCTTGCAAAAGCAAATCAAACACGTCAAATCTGTAATTTTAAATTCTCATATGTAATAAGAAAGAGATTTTGTCAGCATTTTCTTGTGACCAAACCCCGTCATTACAGTTAAACAATAATTGAATAACCCGTTATTCTCGACTTCATGTCATAGTTTCAGCCATAAAGGCCCTCCAAGGGAAACGGCCCCTACAATGTGGCCCGCGACAAAAATGAGTTTGACACCCCTGGTGGAATCATTATTTTCTGTGAAAAAATATCATCCTGTAGTTGGATTTCACAGCCAGACTTCCATTATTACTTTTGCTTTTGATAACCGAGTAAATTGAGTCGCAAGTGTTGTGTTGTGTGCATTCTCTAAGTGCGCTGTACAAATAATGAGTCATCACATACCAAGTCAGGTATGTGGTTTGTCAACACAGAAACAGGCTTTGACACATTTGAATCAGAACAGAAACAAGGCACTTATATATATGAATATGGAATTTTTTTTTAAAGATGATGTGACAAAAAAAGTTGTGCAACCCGAGGACAGACACTTTGTTGATGTGTCAGTCTACTTCCAATGCCCAGTGTAGGAGAACCTATGTACCAATTAGCCCGTCAAAAGTAATTCAGTGCAAGTAGACCAGTCACTGTGAGTGACGATTACTACTTTGTCTTGGTTTTCGTTTTGGTTTTCACTCATTAACTCTGGCGAGTCTGTCTTCTTTCTTTCAGAGCACTAATGTCCAACACAACCTTCACCTCCAATGCCTCGGGGCAACAACATTTTTGTCCCCTGCTGCAGCTCATGCATGAGCATTCCCTAAACAACCACACCAAGACCAACTGGATAGTCGTTTGCTTCCACGGCCTGCTCTCCTGTTTCGGGATTTTGGAGAACGCCCTGATCCTTTGGGTCGTGGGATTCCGTCTGCAGCGTCGTACCGTGGCCTCCGTCTGGGTGCTCAATCTGGCGATGTCTGACTTCCTGGCCACTCTGACACTTCCTCTCTTCACGCTCTACCTTGCCTCCTCCCACAGTTGGGAGCTCGGCAATATCCTCTGCAAAATACAAGCGTCCATCTTTTTCTTGAACATGTTTGTGTCTGCCTTCCTACTGGCAGCCATTTCACTGGACCGCTGCATTCTGGTCACCAAACCGGTGTGGTGCCAGAATCATCGATCCGTGGCAAGAGCGTGGAAGGTGTGTTTACTGGCTTGGCTGTGGGCAGCAATGAATACATTTCCTTACTTCCTGTTTCGCTCAGTGACTGAGACCAGGGATAAAAGGAAACTGTGCTACCATAATTTTGCCCTGCATCAATCATCGGAAGGCACACTCGAGAGAGACTGTGAAGTGAGGCAAACAGCCACAGCTGTCTCGAAGCTGTTGCTGGCATTCCTGATTCCCCTCATGGTGATTGCGGGAAGCTACATCCAAATTAGTGTCAGCCTGAGGAACAGGAGTCGAAAGAGGATGCGGCAGAGCATCAAGTTAAATGGCACATTAATTGGATCAAATCATGATGAGGCATCAAGAGCTCCAAGTACGACTAATATCTCTCTAAAGTCTCTTGCTTTTGGCCGCTCGCTGTCCCTGACAGCTGCACCCTTGTCCCCAACCAACTCATTCAGTCTCAACAATCACAACCAGCTTTCCCAGAGCTTCACCAAGATGGTGACATTTGTGATTGCGGTGTTTGTCTTATGCTGGGCTCCTTATCACATCTTCTGCATGATTGAGGTGTCCGCCCTGTACTATCGGGAAAACCTCAAAGTGGTGGAGGTGGGACTGCATCTCGCCACGACATTTGCATTCTTAAATCCAGTGTTGAATCCCATTCTGTACGCCTTTAGCTGCCCACATTTTTGCGAGAGGATAAGACAAAGCTTGGGAGTTGTCTTTGATGGACTCGTAGAGGAGGGAGGAGGAAAACGATTGGCTCCGGCATTCAGTACACGAGCTAATAAGAGGCCCAAAAGGAGTCGCGGTCGCTGCTTTGCTTCATCTGGGTCACCGGAGACTCCACAATCCCCTCAGACGTTGCCTGGCCCCTCAGCATTCTTTCCTGCTACCGACGATTAATAGGGCCTCAAGGATGTCCACAAAGCATTCAGACTGTGAATCAAACAATGAAACTTACCGTACTTGATGTCTGGTTTGGTGAAAGACTTTCGTCGTCTGTTTTATGAATGATCGTCATCCATGTTGACACATCTGTTTTGCATGTACAGCATAAATAATAAACATGGGTAACACATGAGTATTCAAACCAAAATCCGTTTGCATTTTGACAGATATTGATCCGCTTTAATTGATTTGCAAATGTCGAGTGAAGTATTAAATCCTCCGAAAATTTCATGAAATTCATCCTTTTTCCAATTACATAAAATTGTTCTTTTAAAGTGAGAGAGACATTCGAAAACGGGATCTTAGTATCATATTTTTTTTATCAGACTTCCATACTAGACACGAGAACTGTGTGATCTTCCTGGAGCCAATGGAGAAAAGATATAATAATTATAAATGTGCTATATAAATGCAACTATAAAGAATTACAAATCCCCAATGCAATGAAGCTGGAATTGTTGTGCAAAGAATAAGTGAAAAGAAAATACAAGTACTTTCAAATCCTTTTCAACCTGTATTCAATTGAACACACGACAAAGACAAGATATTTCATGTTCAAATTGCTGTATGTTATGGGCAATTTTTTGGTCATTATTTTCCTTTTTTGAATTGTATTGCCTGCAATGCATTATAAAAAAAGCTTGCAACAGGGGCAGCTAAAGACTGGGAACATTTAGGAATGCTAAAAAAAAAAAAAAAAAAAAAAAAAAAACACCAATTCAGAACATTGCATGGGTAAAACGGTGAATTGGAAACAGGTGAGAGTCATGATTGGGTATTGAACAGCCCGGAAAGGCTCATTTGTTCACAAGAAAAGAATGGGATAAGGTTCACTGCTCACTGAACAATGGTGTGAGCAAATTCAACAATTCAAGAACGTTTATTAAAATACAATGACAAGGAAATTAGGTATCTCCACAATATCATCAAAAGATTCAGAAAATCTGGAGAAATCTCTGCATGTAAAAATCTGTATGACCTTTAATCCCTCAAGGGGCACTGTATTGATAGCTGGTATCATTTTGTAAAATATTGCCTTTTCTGGGCTCATCTGAAAAGGACTGACACCCATTGGAAAAGTGTGCTGTGGTCTGAAGAGAGTACATTTTAAATTGTTTTGGAAAATGATGACCGTCATGTCCTCCAGGCCAAAGGACCATCCGGATTGTTTTCAGCAGGGTTCTGAAATAAATTCTTTGAAAACCTACGAATGTGGCTGGTGACTCCATAAAAACTGGGGTGGGCAATCTCCAGTCCTCAAGGGCCGCTACCCTGCATGTTTTAGATCCCTGCTCCAACACACCTGATTCAAATGATCTGCAAGCTCTGCAGAAGCCTGATAATGATCTTGATCATCCATCTAAAACATGTATGATCACTGCAAATAACCAGTTAGCAATCATAATTTCCCTATTTTTTTTTTTTTTTTAAATCATTAGCTCCGGTGATTTTATCATCCTCCCTCACACTATCTCCAGCTGGTTGCGCTTGTGAAATCCATGCAATTCGCTGCCAATGGGCATATAAAATGTAATTATACAGGATTACGGCATAGTATTTATTGGAAATGTAGGAGTCACTGCCACGGGTTCAAATGACGGACAACAAACATTGCGTAGAGTAGGGTAGAAATTTGAATTTGAACGATTCCAGTTCAGATTCGGGGTCCTTGTTTTGATTGCGGTTCCAAACAATTCTTAATTTCCATTCTTTTCGGAGTGCCCAAACTACAGGCATTCGTTTTTAGTGGCTGGCACCACAGACGCTGCCCATGTCACGTGCCTGCATTTTTACTACTGTGCTTACATTCTTCAGGGAGGAGAACAGAAGAAGTTTGTTCTCATCTCTCACTTCCTTGTTTTCAACCAATCAGTCTTCATTTGATAGGGCCAACGGCATGCCAAAATCTTGAGAAATATCTGACTGACACAATTTTCTCATGCATAATAAACATTCAGCGGCCATTAATACACGCCAAAATGAATCGTAACCCACATTTGGCAGGTGTTAATGTCAAACCCCGGATATCAGCACAAAGTTCAAAAGCCAGCATGTTTAATGTCCATGGTAACTTGCATATCTATGAAGGCACCATGAATTGCAACAGTGAGGTTTTCGAGCCCATGTGCTGCCATCCAAGCAACGTATTTTTGGTGGACGCCCCTGCTTATTTCAACCAGATAATGCCAGGCGGCACGTTGCATGTGTTACAATGGTGAGGCTTCAATAGTGAAAGAGTGCAAGACGGAGACCCTAGACTGTTCAGCATCTGAATATGTACATGAAGAAAGAATAGCAATGTTAAAATTCCACTGACAAAAAGCTTCAACAATTAGTCATATTTTTAGCCACGTGCTTATTGATTGTTGTTAAAAGGAAAGGTGATGTAACACAGCGGTAAAAATGCACCCGTCTCAGTTTTTTGGGAACTTGTTGCAGGCATCAAATTCAAAATGAGCGAATATTTGGAAAAACAACATCGATAAAGTTTAACTGTTTGAAAACACATTTTGGCTTTGTCGTGTAATCAGTTGAATACAGTATAGGCTGAAAAGGATTTGCAAAATGTTGCATTCTGCTATTAGTTACATTTTACACAAAATCCCAATTACATTGGAATTGGGGTTTGTAAAATACTGTGACAATCTACGAAAAAAAACATGTTAAAATAAACCATCCAATTAACGTCTAGGTTTAAAGGGGACACTTGTGCAGGCTTTCAGTGAATTCCAAATAAAGGAAAACGTATAGTCTTGCATTTTACAAAAGAGGCCTTGAATGACAGTAATGATGAGGATGAGGATTTTTTAAATATTTAATCACTAGAGGGCAGTGTGTCATCCCATCCTTGAACAGGAAACATGTTAAAGTAGGATTATGCTGTTCAGGACCCCTAATCCAGGATCATTATAAATCTGCGTTGCTGAACATTTGAACACCTTTCTGGAAGATTGGATTTGATCATATCAGACAGAATTTTGATTGAATGTCTCACCACTGCCATCGACATTGTCTGTTTCCGTCACACTTTTAGACATACACAGGGCGCTGGGCGTAATGTGGGTCAAACCAATGTAGGATTACTGTGGAGGTAGTTGTAATTTGGAGAGAATATTAAAGAGAGAAGATCATGAATATAAAAACAGAACAGGATTAAAACCAAAGAGTCAGACCTACATACGCGGCTCCCTTTTGATCTCAGCCATTCAACAGATAATCTCTCTATCAGCAGTTGGGACATTTGTGTTCCATTCTTACCTTCTCTAAACTTCTCTCTAAGTATATCATTTGAACAGATGAAGCAAATCGAGTACATTCAGAGAATGCGTGGCTCAATCTTGGTACCAACATAATAAAATCCATCCATCCATTTTTAACACCACTTATTCTGAACCTCCTCCTTCTGGCGCCTATCCCATCTGACTTTGGGCAGAAGATGGACTACACCCTGAACTGGTTGCCGGTCAGTTGCAAGGCACTTATAGAATACAAGCAACGATTCACACCTACATCCACATGGTCACTGAGTGGGAACCGATGTCACGCTGCCCGCACACAACTCAGCCGAGTGTGTCGCCACACCGCCAGCAACTCACAATAAAATCAGTTAATGAAATTGATCATTGGATGTTTCACTCAGTATGTTAAAATCTATGCCTATGGAGTACTGTTCGAATCAGGACGATGTGAGATAAGATAAGAATAAACGTGGGAAGGTAGCAGGAGGGTAAAAGAATTGCTTGAAAGGGTTTAATGCGCTAACGCAGTGCTTATAGTTGACAGATGCCGGGGAGAGCATTAACTCTGTGTTGCATGTTTGTGATTTCCTTTCGGCCATCAGGGACTAATGCTATAATCTATATACTCTTCCATTTACTTGAATTCAACATGTTGATGGCTTGTTGCTTTTCCCAAACTAAATATGTTTGTCCTTGTGTGTGCATCACGTTCATGTAAACATAACATCAAATGAAGTAGTGCAGCTTGAAAAGACAGATGCGTGTCCATGCATGTAAGTGTGGTTTGTTTTGGTTGCTATCGCTACATTGTAATACTCTTTGCAAATCATTTTCTTTATTCTCCTAAATGAGTTTTAGCGTGCATTGGTAAAATCACATATCAATAATTCTGTTGAAAATATGGCTTGATAAGATGTAAGGTATACCTCATTGGAACCGAAATATTTTTAAAGCTTTGAACAGCAGTGCTGCATTTAATCATTTTCTGTGCCACTTCTCCTGGTCTGCTTCACTGGTACCGTATTGTACGCAATATAAGTCGCTTCGGAGTATAAGGTGCACCTTCATTGAACGGTCTGTTTTAAAATTATTTTAATATATAGGGCGCGCCGCATTATAAGGCGCATAGAATAGAAGCTGCAATCGTGGCTGAGGTTGCATTATGCAGCCACTAGATGGAGCTACGCTAAATACAATGCAATTCAGCTTTATTTATATGGCGCTTTCACAACCGCTGCAACTGTCACAAAGCATTTAAAATACTCTCTCCAAGAAATCAGAATATTGATCCATATATAAGGCGTGTTGGGTTATAAAGCGCACTGTCAGCTTTTGAGAAAATTGAATTCTTTTAGGTGCACCTTACAGTGCGGAAAACATGGTACCTATCCCTCTTGACTTTGGGTAAGATGCTAACTACACATTGAAGTTCGTCCCAGTCAATCACAGTGCACACAACAGCAATTCACACCATCAGCGAGTCAGGGAGGGAGAGGGATAAATTGGCATTACTGGACAGTGGAGAAAAATGTGTCTGCAATTCCCCTGACATACTTTTTCAAGAGCGCACAAATCAATTTTCGATTTTGTCATATTTTAAACATGTGTATATGCATACATGTTGCCATGAAAGCAAATTATGTTGTGTTCTGTGCCTGTGGAAACGTACTGTGGTCGATAAAACAAAAGATGCAAGTGATACTACCAGACAATTGAAAATATGATGCATAGAGCAGCAGGGATGAAAGGGAGGCAGGGATGAGGGAAGGAGGAGCAACCACAGTAAGAGATGTGCCACAGATTACCAACCGGTGTCAGATGCTCTACAAACAGATAAAGAGGACAAAAGGAGAGAGCAGATATTTCGGTGCATGCACGTTTGGCAGAAAAGATGACAGACGTG